CAAATCCTGCAAACACTTATGTTGCTCGGCACACTTCACAGTTATGACCAATGCTGAGATTACTCAGCAGTTTCTGTTTTAGACCTGTGACTTTAGTTGCAGTATTTAGGAAAGCTTTTCACATTTGACCTCTTTGTTCATTAATGCAGGTACGCTGGATTCTTCTGATACTGACTTAAGAGTGTCCAGCAGGCTGACGATCAACATCTGGTAAGAAATCTGTCTCTCTTTTGATGAACTGCCCCCTGTGTCAGTGAAATTTCTATACAAAATCCATCATCAATCATAAAGGGCGTCAAGCAGGCGTCGTCTTTTTGGCTCCTGATTGATTTCTCAGTGATTTAGATTTAGCGGAGGGCGTTATAGCCTGAAGGTTTTATCAGGATATTTCAATAAATTTGTGATATTATTTAAAACAATATAGGAAATAAATACTGAATAAATAGTCAAACAAATGAACAACACACTTCTTTGTTTGAAGTGTGCATTTGTTGCCACTTGGTTCACATTCACTGCCTGCTTGTTTCTCTTTGCTCACGCACCGTCACAGTCTGGTTGCTCTCAGCGGTGTGTTTGCCTCAGGCAGTGAAAACAAGTCTGCTGTCTTCACAGTACTTTCTCTGAAACCCAATAACTGCTGTCCGCTCTTCATGTTCGCTTTACATTTCACATATGAAGTGGTTATTTTTCTCAGTTTAAACATTTAATATGTTTTTGTGTTTTGAAATCTTGATTTATTAGATTAGCAAAGTTACATCTGAACAAACCACAAGACTTGTGCAACAATGTCTGTTGGACAGGTGTGGAGACGTATGGTCGTGATGCAGGGGACCATTTGAGGAAAACCAAACACCATATCAGCACAAACACCTACAAACTACAAAACTTCTTGCAGTCATCGACTGATTCATGAACTGCTCTGTATTGCAAACTATTCGAGAGTCAAATGTGAGGTCATCTGTCTGACGGTTAAAGCTTGGCTCAAACTGGCTGCTGCAGAACTTACTTTGTTTTGTGAAGCTCAGTGACTTGTTAAATATAGTGTGTGTGTTTTCTTTTATCAGTGTTGATGGTGTTTACACAGGGAGTCATTCACACGCTAATTTGTGTAACTGAAGTAGCTTTGAGTGTTTGAAGTCATTCAACAGTAGATTAACTTTGGTTTAGTGTCATTGAGCCACTGAATGAGTCCACTGAGCTTCAGCTGGCAGACGGCCTGATATTTATCTTGTCTGACGCATTGATCAGATCAGATCAGATATTCAGGCCCATAAAGCACACTCAAATCATGACTCATGTCTGTAAAATGAGGCTGTTGGTTAACGGTTTTCGTGAGCAATCACTGCATATAGAAAAAGTAAGCTTACTCTGTCAGACTGTATTTTGTAATTTGTCTTGTATGATATTCACAAAGAGCGGCCTAGCTTTGAGTCAACAGTGTCAGCGGTTTTCCCCTGTAGTTTATGCGCTGCCTCAAAATAAATACTCCATTGTCGTCCAGTTGTCATACAGATTTGTTGTGTAGTGTAAGTGAGGGTAGCAGGTGGGAGAGAAGCAAATGAATGTAAACAGCTAGCAGAAAGACAGCAGAGGTTAACCTCACTAAAGGACAGAATCGCACACACAGCCTTGTCTGCTGGGTAATAAGTCGGCTTTAACCTCTTTAACTTAAACTAGTTCCATTGTCCCTCGTGTCATCTGAAATGTTCTGAAAAGTTTTTCT